CACAGAGAGAGGCAAGAACGGAGAATATCAGTGGATACAGCGCGCCGAGGTGAGTTGTCCCGCTTCGGGTTAGTGTAGCAGACATATGCTGTCTATCAATGTCAATCAGTTTTATTCAGTACGTAAAAGGTCACAGGCCTATAGTACAATGCGTATTTACATGTAGGTGCCGTGGTTGTTAACTAACAATTCTGTTTCTATGTGACATTGCCTGACATCCAACGGCAACCTACAATGAAGTTCGGGTTCGAACTTAACTTCAGCAACCCATGCTTGTCGTAAGAGGCGACTAGCGGGATCGGGTGGTTAGGCTCGCTAACTTGGATGACGTATGTCATCAATACCAATTGCGCAGATCGATGCTCATGATGTCTATCATCGGGTTGGTTGTCTGCTCCAGAATCGATGAGTTACGCCATATATAGCTGGAATATTGTTGAGGCCAGCGTTAAACAAACAAACAAACAAACATAAACCGCAGTAATATGTTAGTTTTCAATTATGAAAACATAAACGCAAAATATCAATCACGATCCTCTCTGACTGTGAGTTAGAACACATCAGACAATAACTTGATTTCTTTAAAAATCAATAAATTAAATTATAACATAATCCAGAGTCTAAATCCTATAAATCTCGGGGCACTGGAATTAACCAGTTGTTCACTCGTCACGCCCAAAGTTCACGTGCGATTTTTCACATGGATACAGCATTTATATGTACTCGCTAAAATCACCGCAACCGTGAAGATCCGGGATAGAATAGGTCTTCAGCAACCCACGCTTGCTTTAAAAGTCGACTCTGCTTGCCGTAAGAGGGGACCAACACGATCGGTGGTCAGGCTCGCTGACTTGGTTGATGCATGTCATCGTATCCCATTTTTGTAGATCGATGTCCATGACATCAGTCACTGGATTGTCTGGTCCAGACTCGATTATTGACGGACCGCCGCCATATAGCCGGGATATTGCTGAGTACGACAAACAAACAAACAAACAAACAAACAAAACATAAAATCACAGGGTACCGCCTTTCGAGAAGCATGACGTACTATGGAGCTTCTTTGCTTCGCCTCTATACGTGTATACGTTAGGAATACAGAATACACAACAATTCAAAATTATATTAGCGTTCGCTTGTCACGCCGAAGACCCGGGTTCGATTTCCGACATGGGTACAATGTGTGAAGCCCATTTCTGGTGTCCCCCGCCGTGATATTGCTGGAATATTGCTAAAAGCGGCGTAAATCCGTACTCACTCACTCAAAATTGTATTACCGAAGAGCACGTTATTAATGCAAACACTACGAGAACCAACCATAAAACAAGGCAGTCACGACTCAATTTGTAGTTTGTGTTGACGTTATCGACGCGTTCCGCTTCCTCTGACGACAGGGAATTTACTTTTGAGCTGTAGTGTAATTTCTCTTCCGCCTGGGACTGTCCATATGATCATGGTGGTGTTAATTGGTTTCAGGTAAAAGTCAGTGGTTACAGTTCGTCCCAACATGACAGCCCCGAGTTACAACGAATCGAGTAAGTCTCGCGGTGGCGTGGACGGGCGCAGCTACACGATTCCCAACGACAGCGTGTGTGTCAGGACAAGGATCTGCGGCGAAAATATTGACTTGACATCTTTGTTGAAAGCCGTCATGGAGATCAAACAGATGGTCAGTGAAAACATGTCCTTTGTAGTTTATAAGCTGGACAGGTTAGAGATGTGTAAGGATGCAGAAATACACCATTTAAAGGACGCGGTAAGCCGGGCGGAGGACACTAACCGAATTCTCAATGAACAGTTGTATGCCTATCGTATCAATGAACAGAAGATGCGGTATGAAATAAAGCTACTGAAGAATGAAAACAAAGAACTGGGGACGAAGGTGACGAAATGCCAGTCTGAAGTCGCATCTGTGACTAATCAGTTCCGCAAATTAGACGTCATGACAGAAAAGATGGATCTGGTGCTTCAAAAAACATCCTCCTCATCAGCATCTGTATCCCTTAACAACATCGCAACCCAAACACCACCAGAGACAGCACAACTCAGTGAAAAGAATTTCACTCCTGAAACACCATCTGTCAGACACGGGGTAACTCGCACCTCACCCTCACAAGATTGTCCAGCTTCTGATGTTGGTAGATGTGCACGGACACAAAAGTCTACAATTGCTGATGAACCATCGCGCAATGATACACGAACGTTTAAATTTGGGAGTGTAGAAAATCACCACTCTCACCTAGTTGGGAATAAACTGAATATCAAAACACCAAACTCAGATGGAGAAAAGAACATAAAAACGGAACAATATGTGTTGTCCCGTCTCAAGGGACCTGCAGGCATTGATGGTGTAAATGCAGCAGTGACGCGATATGCCGCTGACAGAAGTGTAAGGGTGACACATGTACGACACATTAAGACCTGGCGTGGTAGGGCCGGGCGACAAACGTACACAGTGCTGATTGATGTAGCTTGTGATGATTCCCACAAAATACAGGACAAATTCTGGCCGGATGGTGTTTATTGTAGACTTTACATTCCCGAGGTAGAAATGACAACCAGGAACGGGGACAGAGCACGTGACAGGGATACAAAATAACTATAGGGTGCAAATGTAACGTAAGGCTCAAAGGATCCTGACACGCACAAGGGATGCAACTCTTCACAGACAAATGAAGTGCCTTAAACGAATGGCCTGCAAATATGACGTTTTCATGAAAGGCGCAACTACGAGTGAAAATGGCAACTTTGTAGGTCACAAGCTCAGATAAACATTTTATTTGACAAGAAATGTTAATTTTATTAGGTATTTTCTTGCATGACTTTCATGATCTTACTCTGAATACCATTGTGTCGTAGAATGAAAGTACATGTAGTTCCGACTCTAGAGAAATATTGATTTCGTGTTTGGATATTTATACAATATACATATTAAATGTGTTTAGGTCCTTACTCTTCAAGGAACTCGATGATTGTTTACACATATTCCTTAACGATAATCTATTTTTATACAAAAATATACAGAAGTATTATTTTTCCTGTTTAATGAACACGGTGGCTCCAAGTGTGGGTGGGATGGCTTCCTGCAAGGATGCAGTTTAATAACAAGTAACTAAAACATTTACCCACCTGAACTAGAAATAAAGGCGACCAGTGAGGCTGCCTCATCTGTTTCATTACGGAAGCCTTTTAGGGCCATTTTTTAAATATTTTTTTTTACACTATCTTGAAATTTCAAGATACTAAGTTGAAATTTCAAGATACTATCTTGAAAGTCAGGATACTAAGTTTAAATTTCAAGATAGAGAAGTTGAAATTTCAAGATAGAGAAGTTGAAATTTCAAGATACTATCTTGAAATCTCAAGATACTAAGTTGAAATTTCAAGATACTTAGTTGAAATTTCAAGATACTAAGTTGCTATTTCAAGATTATTCACTTCAAACATATTTTTACATCTAAGGATGTTAAAAACTTATCTTGAAATTTTAACTTAGTATCTCGAAATTTCAACTTAATATCTTGAAATTTCAACTTAGTATCTCGAAATTTCAACTTAATATCTTGAAATTTCAAGATAGTATCTTGAAATTTCAACTTAGTATCTTGAAATTTCAAGATAGTCTCGAAAAAACCCAAAAAAACAAATGGCCCTAAAAGGCTTCCGTAGTTTCATCTTTAGATCTTTGAATAAAGATGTTCAGAGTGACAAAACCCTATCCACAAGACTGTATGACAAGAGGGATGACTTCACATTTCCCTTCCCATGGGGGGTCGGGTAGCCTGGTGGTTAAAGCGTTCGCTCGTCACGCTGAAGACCCGGGTTCGATTCCCGACATGGGTACAATGTGTGATGCCCATTTCTGGTGTCCCCCGCCGCGATATTGCTGGAATATTGCTAAAAAAGCGGCGTAAAACCATACTCACTCGCTCACTCACTCACATGCTCATGATATAGTCGGAATCGTACGATTAATTGACTGCTTTTGGCAGAGATTTCTTATGAATATCGAAAATGTCACTTTTATTTATTGATATGTTCTCAAAGCAAACAGCACGATTAAAGGATGCATCTGGCATGCTGTATGTCACGTTAACCCTAGCTCCCGTTAAAAAAACCTGTTTACGAGCTTGAATAGTCCCTATTCACACAAGCACACTCCGCAAACACAGGCACAGACACTTATCATTAAATGGATCCTGCTTTTGTTCCGAATTTACCGACCTTGACCTTGACGATAACGCCACTATCTCGCCATATCGCTAGAAATGACAGGACATATGGTGATTGTCGTTCTCACGGCTTTTTTGTGCAGTTCGTTAAGGATATGTAAGTACTTTTTATCTAACCATATTGCTGGTGCAGGGTAAGAAGACACCATGTCCATTTCAGCCCTCGTGATTTGCGTAATAATGATAAAATACCACATGTTTAGAAAAGGTTATGCAAGTCATCACATGTGTGATTACTTCACCACGTTCGTGTGCAGGACTTATAACAACACCATGTAATGTATAGTATTGCTAAACGATGTCACATATTCTCAATGGGCGGTCGGGTAGCCTCGTGGTTAAGCGTTCGCTTGTCACGCCGAAGACCCGGGTTCGATTTCCGACATGGGTACAATGTGTGAAGCCCATTTCTGGTGTCCCCCGCCGTGATATTGCTGCAATATTGCTAAAAGCGGCGTAAAACCATACTCACTCACTTACTCACTCACAAATTCTTATTTAAGAGCATTTAAGGAACATTCTGAAATAGCTATGACCCAAGCTGATTATCCACGAAGACGTAGATAAGAACAGTTCGGGCATATGGCATATATTTTCTCTTGAAGTTGGAAAAAACGCTCCTTTGCACTCGTTTTCATGCATTTGATCATACCAGGAGGAATTGAAAGTGTAATAAATAAATAAAGGCTTGTTGTCAGCCATTTGAAGAGGCCTGGTACTTTTTATACCAATTTTTCAAACTTTAAGTTTGTTTGTCTGTTTGTTTATTTGTTGTTTATCGTCGTATTTAGCAATATTACAGCTATACGACGGCGGTCAGTATATAATCGAGTTTGGACAATCAAGTGATTGACATCATGAGCATCGATCTTCGTAATTGGGATCAAACAAGTCAGCGAGTCTTACAACCCGATCACGTTAGTGGCCAAATGAGTAAATGAACTGGGCTTAACGCCACTTTGAATGTTAACTTTTCAGTTAATCATGGCTATGACAGAAGTTTACAGCACACGGAGACGTTTATGATAATTGGAAAATAAGGACAGAGTGATTTGGGATTCGAACATACGACGGACGTTCTGACACAACTCTGCACCATCTTCCCGAGGCAAGGGAGTTAACTGACTATAAAAGTCCAGTTCCCACCCTTGCCGAACTAGGCTGGTATTATGGAGTTACATTTTGGATGGACTAACGAGTCTTTGCATAGTCCAATCAAAATCGAGCAACGAAATCGAAATCCTGTTCGTAAACTGTCATGCAGATTTCGCCCGATTGAAAGATTTGCAAAACATGTGCACCGCCAACTCATTGTCACCCTATATTATCTAAATCTTTTCATGTCTTTAATCAAGGTGCTCACGTGATTTGATGCACTGCGTGATGTAAGACTCGTTTACACAATATAGATCTTGATTATCGATCAGATCGTCTTGACTTGGCGCCGCCATTTTGTTTGAAGAAATTCAAGTGATACGAGAGGTGAAATCTGATTGGTCCATAGGAGAGGCATGGAGGGGACTTAGCTCGTATTAGCCACTGGTGGCGCTACGATCGAGCCCAGGAATTCCAGCCTAGTTCAGCAAGGGTGGAAACTGGACTTTTAAAGTCAGTTAACTCCCTAGCCTCAGGAAGATGCTCTGCACGTGAAAATGGGCCAAGGTCAACTTGTAGATACCATTATTCATGCAATATAATAATACCCGGAGTTTCGGCATGATGATCAAACGGTTTATCCACTAGACTAACCACACTACCCATTAATGGATGCGGATACAATATGATAATATTGACTCTGACCTAGCTGATCCTGCCCCGACTAAGGGAGGCGATTCTGTGAAGAGAATTATCGCGCCTTACAGCATTGGGCAACCGGTGCTCTCTAACATGTAAGCTGGTTGGTTGGTTTGTTGTTTAACGCCGCACTCAGCAATATTCCAGCTACATGACGGCGGTCTGTAAATAATGGAGTCTGAACCAGACAACCCAGTGATTGACATCATGAGCATCAATCCACACAATTGGGATACGATGACATGCATCAACCAAGTCAGCGAGCCTGACCACCCGTTAGGCGTCTTTTACGGCAAGCCTGGGTTGCTGAAGACCTATTTTACCCCGGATCTTCACGGATTCTAACATGTAAGAGGGAGTGAGTTTGGTTTTACGCCGCTTTTAGCAATATTCCAGCAATATCAAGGCGGGGGACACCATAAATGGGCTTCACACAGCAGGGGGAATCGAACCCGGGTCTTCGGCGTGACGAGCGAACGCTTTAACCACTAGGCTACCCGGCCGCCCTTAACATGTAAGAACCATTGAATGTGTTAAATGAAAACGTGTCACACAATGTTGAGTAAATGCGAAATTATTTATTTTTAGCGCATGCACAGACGGCGTCATGCGCAGAAATTGGGGGCAGATGTCTCCCGGACGCGTCAGACATCTTCTGTGACGGCACACGTGACTACAACAACCCGGGATGTCCCACAGGAAACTATTGTTGTGCACCTCTCAAGAACAGTAAGTTGTAATATAAATAGTATCCAACATGTATCCATTGCCGGGATTACGGATCAGAGTAAACCCCCAGTACCCCATTAGTTGAAAAAGAATTTGGGGGGAAATTATAGTGAAATTTCATTTACCGTCTTAATTACAACAATTGTCCGCAGGAAGACAGTTCTCTTACATTAAACTGATTCTGTTGATTGCGAAAGTGGGAAACAGCTGACTCATCATTTTTTTCATTATACTTTTTATGATATTTTAAAAGGACATCGATCATGTTTATTCAATAAAAGTTTCAGATTTTAGTATTTGCATTGAATTCACCTTTCTTTATCAACACGGGTGCATTCGGGAGCTAAATCTTACCAAAATTGTATATGATGGCGGCCATATTGACTTGTAGGTCACATGACCACAAGGGGGTTAAATTAACTTGGGTCTATATAAAAAATATTTCTTACAGACAGAGCAATCATTACTCCAATTGGCATGTTAGTATCACATTTTGGCGATTTTCAGCAATATTCCTCAATAATTACCGATTATATACGTAATTATGATGATTATGATGATTATATACGTAATTATGTTGATTATGATGATTATATACGTAATTATGATGATTATGATGATTATATACGTAATTATGATGATTATGATGATTATATACGTAATTATGACGAGGGTCGGGTGGTTACAAAGTGTTACCTGGCAGACCGGGTGACACCTGCACTGTCGGCGTTGTT